CACACACACACACACACACACACACACACACACACACCTTTAATCTCTAACTAAACACACTCTAAAATGTTTCCTTAATTGTTTCCTTTTCTTCGTTCCTTTTGTCGAAGCACCAGGAGCTGATAGATAAATAAAGCTGTGTGGGAAAATGCTAACAGCTCTGTATATATTGGGCTGTATAATATTAATTATGGAGGCATTCGATGATCAACTTTGGGATTAACAATTTGGACATGTGGGTTTTTCTGCCGCACTCACAAGTGATTGTCACACTTTGCAGTTGTTAATTAGAGACTTTGTCATCTGGAATTATTGCGTTTGATCTCCCTTTACAAAGTTTTTTTGTCAGAAAAGTATCATGTGAAGAATGCATGAGCAGTGCTGCTGTGCAGAGGAGCTCTGGCTTCTGCTGATCTCTCTGTGCAGCAGCTGCAGCCTCAGTGAGGCTTCAGTGGTCAGTGTTAACATCTCTGACTTTTTGTCTTGATGCAATCATTTTAAAGTGATGCAACCTCAACAGAAAAGGGTGATGAAAGAGTGATTTCCCTGGCACCTCTTTATGTTTCACTGTATAACTTTGTTTTTCTTTTTCTCTCTGCAGGCTGCCGATCTCTCACACCTGTTTCAATCAGATCTGTTTGCCTCCGTATCGAACCAGGAAGGAGCTCAAACAGAAACTGACCATTGCCATCTCCAATGCTGAGGGCTTTGGCCTTGAGTGACTAACTCCCACATATACACACAGACTGTTTGCAGTGCTATCTGAAACTTTTCCCGCAACGCATCTGAGATCAGAAAGGAAATAAGTTGCTCGTTGTGAGTCAACACGTTGAGCAACTTTCTTATGAAGATGGATTCATCGATGATTCAAATCTGCGGTGCACAAGATGGAAGCTTTGCCAGGAAAACAGCTGCAGAGAAACTCCAGAAATCCTTTAGTTTGTCCGTGGACTCATTCTGTGATTCAACAACACCAACAACACCAACTCTTTAAGCACTTTAGTTTACTTCATGCTTACCCACCACAGAATACAGTGAAGGAGGCGTGTGTTCAAACCTAAATTCATCACAACAGTCCCAAATGTTCAGCCAGATTCATAAAAAACAAATTTCAGACAGTGAGAGAACAAAGAGTCCTGAGTGATGATGGCTAATGGCAACACCACGGAGTCAGTCTGGGATAACACGAAGGGCTGAGATGCTTGGAACAGCTGACCTGCCGAGTGGCTGGATAAATAGTCGCAGACAAAAATGGTTATGTTTTAAAGACAGACACTGATCTCTGCAGCAGAGCAGCAGAATACTAAATTCAAACAAAAGACAGGGCAAAAGAAAAGCTAATGCAGAAGAAACTGCCCTGCAGAAAATCACAAAGCACGATAAATACAGGTGAACATAACAGAAAAAATACACTAATAAAGAAATGACACAGAAACTACTGACGAAACAATAATGATGATAAAAGGCCAATAAAAAAACTAATCCTAATGGGTCCTAATGGCTAACGTTTGATCACCTTTAGGTTTGACCCAGAAGATGTAAGGCTGTGTGTGCTGGAGCCCCTGAAAGGGATGGTGTGGTCAAACTATTCCCATGTTTCTGCCAGCAGGCTCCTCATTAGCTAAAGTCACACGAGTGTTCACCCTGTGGTAGCTAGGATAGGCCACATACACCCCCCAGGACTCTGAACTGGATAAGCAGAAGAGAATGGATGGATGGATGTGCCATCACAGACCGTCTCAAACTGCAGTTAAGGTGTTGAGGTTTCAGGGACGGGTATACCTGTGCAGGGCAGTGCAAAGGGATGCTGGGAGCTTGGTATATTTGCCAAGGGGAAAGCTGTAACTAGAGGATAAGATGGAGTAAAGTAGGACCCTAAATCTAACCTCGCGGTCTGGCACACGCAATGACAGCTGTAGATCTATAAATCATTTTGCATTGTTTCAGAACTTTTACACAACCCTGTAGATACCATACAAAAAGAAATAGAACTATCTTAAAAAGTTATGTTTTATACAGAATTTCATATATTTGTAGGTCCGTGCCACTGAAACCCGGTTATATTTGTTCCCTTAAACCTTATATAACTAAAAACTAAACGTCTCTTAAAGGTTGCTGCTTTCTTTGGATAAATATTCAAATTGAGTCATTTTTAACCAATGACCTGCTGTTTGCCCACCACTGAACATTTACTTTGGAGAGGCTCTGGCCTAACAGGAAGTTCGGCAGTAGCACGCTCCTGAAAACTCATCATTTAAACATTTTCATTTAAATCAAGTAAAAGTAGAAACCGGAGGCGAATGTTTCGGACAGAAACACCTCCGGAGGGGAGATTAGTGTCAGTCCTGACTGAGGCATTTGAAACGTGTTGCATATGGTTTTGTTTGGTTTGCACTGTGAGGACTTAAAGCTTTGCTGGATGTGCTACCGTCAGATGTACGTCGATCGTCTTGTGATCAGTGTTTTGCTTGTTTTTTGACATTGCCGCCTGTTTTATGGAACAAAGGCTGCAGCAGTTCTTTGAAATGTTTTGAAATGATGACGCAGTTAAAGCTGAGCTGTTGATTAATATTTGTTTTCTTTTTTAATTTTGGTTTTCTTCTTTTGTTGTCATGAGTGACGGCTGCCCTCGGGCTGAGAGCCGGCCTGTAGCCGAGGGCTGACAGATTTTATCACAAAGTCATCTTTGTGCCCGAGAGAAACAACTCGAGTTAAGCACCTCTGTCTGACATGCACTGCTCATTAATTTCCTTATTGGACTTATTTCGGACACTTATTTAAATTGATGAAAAAAGTCCATTCTTGCCACCAGCATCATAAACGTTTCAAAAAGTTGGAACTTTACGACTCGCTATTGTTGTTTCCACATCCTACAAAAATCGGAATTAGCTTTATCCTTGGGTTAAGATTTGGTATCCAGTGGGTTAAACTTGGGGGTAAGAGGCCTGGGAAAGCACTGAGTTCAATGAAACTGCATGCCCCTCCACCCATGCACAGAGTGGAGCCGTGGCTGTCACAGAAAGCAGGAACAGAGAGACACTCTGAGCCAAAATCTGAGATCCATCATCCAACAGAACCAAACGCAGCACTGCACTCGGGTCCTGAGAAACGCAGAGTAACTGTTGATGAGATTAGTACGAGTCTTTAGGTCTACACCAAAACCTAGATTTGTGTTAACCCAACATTTGCCGTATCTTCACACAGACACACAGATTCACTGAAAAAAGAACTGGTTATTAGGTGACTCTGTGTTCTCTGGATTTCAGGGTTCATTCTGTAGTCGAGATGAGGTTATTTTGAGGCTTTGGAGCAGGAATGGGACACTGTTTTACTCATTGTGTTCACATGCCCTTGAGTAATCAGGTATTTCAAAGAAAATGTTTAGTTTAACTTTATCAGTAGTGGAAAGTGACCCATTTAGAGCTCAAGAGGCCGTTAAGTGTCAGTTTCAGAGCGGTGAGGATTGATTTATATTTAAAATTTACAGCACAAGAGATTCTTTGAAATAATGCGATTTTTCTTCCCTGCATAATCAAATAGAGCCATCATCATTTCCATCACGAGTGCAGTGCTGCTGTTTTTCCCCAAAGTGGTTTTTATAGTGTAACAATGACTCTGCAGTTGTTACGTTGTAGCTTCAGTTCAAGGGAGCAAAGTTACTTTGTAAGGCCTTAAAATTCGTTCACTGCAGAGTTTAATCAGTGGGGTAAAAAGCCGGTTGGCATCCAGACTCTCTGCTTCTTTAACTTTGTTGAACTTTTTTGGCTTCGAAGCCGCTCTCTCCTCTCTCTACAGCTGGGCGGCGGTAATTCCAAACCCCCAGCGCTCTCTTATGCAATGTTACCATGGCAAAATGTCTGAAATCCTAAAAAGACACTGAAGTAACCAAGCAACAGCCGAGCAAGCCGTATGGATGCGCCATCCAAACATCAACCTAATCTGGGTCAGTCTTTCACACTCAGCTATAGGGTCTGAGAAAGCCCCTGACGCAACAATGGGTCCTTTCTGTCATTTAATGAGCAGCAGTAGGAGCCAGAAGAGGCAGCCCGTCTCCAAGCATCTGTTGGAGAAGGCCTCTGTGGCACATTTGCATCACGTTAGCCGCTTTGCTAAATACAAAAAAAGACACATTTTACATGTCGGGAGACGGAAACTGAGAGGAACGTGGACGTCGGGGGTAAAATGATGTCACTCAAGTGTCTTCCTGAAATGTTGATTTGACCCGGGTGTGTTTTACGTGAATAGGACCAAGCTGTGTCAGGTTATGCAGTGGAGACAGCAGTGCAGAGACCTTCTTGAAAATCAGTTTGAAAATAGTTCAAACCGATTCAAAGATTTGTTGCGGTGTAATAATTTTCACGTCCGATATGTAAATAAGTGCAGACGCCACTTAAAAAGTAAAGTCTCGTGTTTGCTTTCACAGGGAAGGTGTCAAATGTGTTTTATCCTGTGTTTTGTTGGGTTTTATCATGGGTTGACTTTGCATGACTCATATTTGAAACCTGTTATGCTTTTCTGCTGCCCAAATCTTACGTAACATACTGTGTTTTCTCCACAAGTATTTACAGTAAAAGCCGATGAGGGCTCGTCTCTATCCAGAAACTGGCCTCCTGAGTTTTCTTTCCATCCAGTTTTATTGTAATTCATGCACATCCTGGTGTTCAAGCTGGCAGCTGCACAGACCACCACAGCCTCCTGCAGCTTCTCACTGGGCAGCTGGATTAGTTTAGGTTAGGTTTTGTGGCTGCACCAGAGGAGCTGCAGATCAAGACTGGTAACTCACCTCGAGGCGAGCACAGCTTTTAGGTCATAGCATCACAGTGCAGTGCAAATTGTGGCTGCGTGATAATAAGTGTCTGTCAAGTGCAAATAGCTCTACTTCAAATTTGAACAAGGATACCAGCAAACCTGACTCATCAGCGGCGGTGGTGAAGCATTCAGTTTGGCTTCAAACTGAAACTCTCAGACATGCGGTCAGGTCCACCAGGGTTTCAATCAAACAACTGAAGTGCAGATTTTCAGTTTAATTCAAACATTTTAACAAAAAAATGCATCAAAGTTTGGAGCCCATGGACATTATCAAATGATGCTCGTCCTCTCTTCAGACCAGATCCACTGGCAGACACACGCTTATAAAATAGCGTTACCTCCTGTTGTGTTCGACAGCTTCAGGTCTTTCAGGCCTTTTCATGTACAGATTGTTGATTTGGCCGCTCCTGATGTTTCTGCTTCATGTCTGATATGTTAACTTTGTTTCTGCATCTTAATCATGGTGTCCCTCACCATTGTCAGCGTCTCTTTGGAGCTCTTACCGAGTGTTCAAGCAGCTACTTTTGAGCCTCTGAAAATTAATAGATTTAAAATCTCTTTTTCAGGAGTGACCTGGCCAAGATGGAGAGCAGTATGATTATGACAAGTACATACACACCAATCAAAGAGTAAAAACTAAAACACAGAAACAACCAAGTTCATAGGCGTCAGTATCAATCAAAGATGAATATCGTGGCAAAACTACTTGGTTTACAGAATTAAAATGATGAATAACTGATGTAATTGTCCAAAAACATATGAACCATATATAACTGTGACTAAGATGAAGTGTGATGGTGAACAAGTAGCTGTTTATGCACTGCTTCACCTCCACACCCCAAATACACAAACACGCCTCCTCTCTCCTTTTCTCTCCTTAAGTTTAGACACCAGTTCGCACTGACATTGCTTTTTTCTCATGCATATTTTTTCCTCCCCTTTTGTTGTGCCTCTCCGCCGTGGTGAGGCGGCCCACATTGATGCCGGGAACAAGAGATCTTATCGTTTGCTAAACAAACAGAAATATGTAGGCCATGGCCAGCACGGCTTTGTTACTAAATAACCAAACAACAGTCCACCATTATATTTTTTAATAGGACTCCCGTCTGGCTGAGTCTGCAATTTTCTCCCTATTCATGTTCAAAAATAAGCACACAAATTTGCCAAGTGTCTGGACAATGACCTTAAGTTAGTCCTTTGTTTTTTTTATGTTAGCGCTGCTTCCTGTGTGGATCAGCAGAGCAACCTTGAGGATTCCTTCTTTTAAATCTAGTTCATCTTTTCATTGATCTGTTATCATCATAACTCCACACGACTCCACGACAGCAGTAGAGGAGTGGCTGTGGCGGTGCAGTCATTGGTGGATTGTTATTGACACAAACCCTTTTTTTCAAAGTCTTCGCTTCTCTGTTTTTGTTTCTGTGCAGATTATCCCGGCTGGTTTGTCCCAGTTTAGTCTCTGCCAGCAGTCAAGGTGCTGATGGGAAACCGCTGACACTGCAAGGTTAATCGGTAGCTCACTCACAATGTAGCGCTCAAAGCTTCTCGCTAGCACTATGCCTACTTTCCTTAGTTTGTTCCCTGTGCCATTAGCAGAACAACGTGGAATAACATTGCTTCATTAAACATTTACCAAACAAGCTTCAAGCCAAAGTTCAAAGTGGAGCAATTTGCAGAATATTAGGTGTCCAGACTTTAAATGATACCTGTGTCAGATAAAATGGTAACTGGGTCACATTATAAATTCCTGCTGTGTCCTGGCTAATCATCAGGGCACACACTTCTTTGGGTCGGGTTACTTTCATGCTGATGTCGCGTGGCTCTCTCCCAGCATGGGACTGCCTGTAAAAACGTACATTCATAAACAGTAATGTGACAGATTTGTTTGTGATGATGTGATTTAGCTTAGATCTGAAATGACAGATTAGTACCTCTTCACACTGACACAGGACATTAAATTAAAAACTTGAGTGAGGCGTGACGTCAAGCTGCCAAATGTGTTGCAAAAGGCAAAAAAGAAAGAAAGGGGATTATTGCTTTGCAGCACCATGACTATAGACTTTTTTTTATTTTGTTGTGAGTGAAGCGGTCACTGAAAAGGAGCCACAATGCAATTATTACTTTCTGCAAGTTAAAGGCGAGCCTCCTAATTTGAACTCAATATTTAATTCTCAGGCTCTGCTGGAGAAGCTTTACATGAATCAGGTAAAAATAATCCTTATTATTTCATACCTGGTTCCCTCAGTTCATCGTCTGTCTGAAACAAGCTGTTTTAGTTCATCCTCATTTAGGAAAACTTCATCCAAATGGCTGCTCCACATAAAGAAAGATCCACTCCCACTGAGGTCATACAGAGTGAAGAGCAGAAAAAGGAAACAGAGTGGCTTTACTTGACACTGACTTCATTCTTGGAGACTTTAGCCACGTTTGACATGAAGAGCACAAAAGGAGACATATGGCATAAAATGGGGAAAAAAATCTTTGGGAAAAAATAGCTTTGTAAACATTGAATTTCATGCATAATTTGTCATTTTGAGTTTAATATCAATTAAATCATAAAGTAGATATGGGAATTTATACAAAGTCGTTCATAAAGGCAATTTAAACCAGGCTTGATAAACACCCACATTTCACTCATACACAGTTGCGATCAAAAGCTGATGAATGGCAAAGAAATTTATATTTTGCATGGTCGGATCTTAACAATGTTCCAAGTCGAGCTTCAACACGCAAAAAGAAGAAACAGGGGTGAGACAAAACATGTTTTTGAGCATGCAGTTTATTGAAAACTATGCTTACACTGAAACAGGCAAAAACAAACTTTGGATCAGCTGTAAATCAGCCTGTTTCACTCTCTCCTTAAATGGTTATCCATGTCTAAAGTCCTGTTACAACTTAGACAATATGAATAGACATTTACATATATGAGTCCTTAAAACAAGTTTTATCTCCTAAGATGAGATGAGCACATTTGAATGTCCAGTTTAGGAGTAACTCCTCTCGTATCTTTGGCGTTTTTTGGGCAGAAAAACCATCGAGTCTGACTGAGCCTGGAGGAACACAGTCTTTGATACAAAGCATAGCTGCCGGCAGATCAGCTTGACGTCAGCTTATTTCAGTTTAACTTGGCTACAAACAACTTAGTGTTGAGCTCTGGCAGGTGGACAGCTCTTCACCCACTAAACACTGACACTTTGTTCAGCACAGAGTGAGAATAAAAAAGGAAAACAACCTTTCCATCATCCAAACAGGGGAAGGGTAAAACCTCGCCGGGCTTAAAAGACACTGACCTGTTTATCGTCTCTGCTCGGCCATTGACCTTTTTCATTCAGTGTCACCTCCTCGCCAAAGTGCATTTTGTAGATGAACGTTAAACATGGCAGGAAAGAAATTCTAAAACTGTCTTTTATGTAGACACTCTGCTGTGGAGGACCAAAACTGCCAAAAATATTCACAGAAATAAAAGAAATATGGGCAATAATTAATTTTGAAAACATATTATTCATATAAAGCAGATCCACACGACAAATTTAGGAAAGGAGAAACATTTAGGATTTATTGGAAACACATTTAAGGAGGAGGGGGTTGGTAAATAACTGGTGATTAATAAGTTAAACATTAAAATGTAAAATTAAATAAGAAAAGACAGAGACTGATGGAACGGTAAGCACAGGTGAGTTAAAGAAGTATTAACAATTAATGAATTGACAAAACACCTGTTTGTTTTTGATTTAAGAACATATTTATTTATTCACTAACATTTGTATTTTATATCAGTTTTGGTTTTCTGTATACTCTGCCCTCTTATCACCAGAGGAACTTTGGCTCCGATCATCGGATCCATTCTTGTCCAGATTTCTTTGGTTTCTGTCTCTATTCTGATGCTTTGACAGTTAAACAGTGTAGAAGAATTTTCTGATCTCTTGTTTCTGTGAGGTCATTCACAGTGAAGTCTTTTTTTAAAAATGCAATGATGGAGCGTCTGCAGACTTGCAGCCGCTGTGTTTTCTATTATTAGAAGAAAAACCTTGCATAGGTCGCATTCCAGCTCCTTCTTTAGACTGAAGATAACAGAGGTGAGTTTGCCTTATTAGGATCGACGTGTAGAAGGAGACTTTGGAGACCTTCAGTGGATGCACATGACGCCAACTGTGAAGTCTTGCATCACATTTTGCACACTGGGATTGTTGACAGTTCAATTACATCCAGATTAGTTGATTCATGGCAGCCGGCTGCTGTGATTGAGAGACTATCACTGAAATTAATCTGGTTAGCGATTGCTCAGCTCAGTCAAGTGTTACCAAATTAAAAGCTTTTATTGTGCAGAAAGGC